ACGCCCCAACGGCTGTGATTAACTCAATCTAACGGCTGCAGGGACACCGTTTCAAATTCGACGGTTAACCATTAAACGACACCGTTTCAAACTTGACGGTTCGCTTTTCAAACCTGCCCGTTGGACTGTTACAGTTATCTTTTTACAGCGGCATTAATTACGCACGTCATTCAGAGAACAGCTGTCGCGTCACGTGTCGCGTCTTAGTCAGACTTCGCAAACGGGCCCACTTAAGCCCATTTCAACACTCCTTCCCACTTTTGCACATTTTCAATTTTGGCAAGTGTTTTACTTCGGCAACCGACCTGATGGCTCCGGCCACAGTGACTTAGTCACATATTTTACTTCGGCTACGGCCTCAGTGACCCAGTGTCACACTTCACTTCGGCTACGGCCACAGTGACTTAGTCACATATTTTACTTCGACTACGGCCATAGTGACCCAGTGTCACGTTTTACTTCGGCTACGGCCTCAGTGACCTAGTGTCACACTTCACTTCGGCTACGGCCACAGTGACTTAGTCACATATTTTACTTCGGCTACGGCCATAGTGACCCAGTGTCACACGTTTTACTTCGGCTCCGGCCACCGTGACCCCGGTTAGCACTTTTTATTATGACTCATAACTACACGTGGCCTATAGTCATCTATTCAGTTAAAGGAACGGGTTTTTATTCCCATACTCATTTCTATTTATGCACTACCCCTATCATTTCCAACAACATCATTCACAAGTGAATGACTTCGGGGGGGGAATAGTGTAAGGGTAAGTCCAAAGCTTCCCGCTCGAACAGCTACACAGCTGTTACGATGGACATCCTTGCATCTAAATATATCTCAATCTCCCAATCCCGAAATAACTGCCTGGAGATACACATCGGATCCCGGATATCTTGCCTGACATCTTGATTGGCATGACGCGTGGATTCTTCATCGGAACATATAAATACCTCTCAAGGGCCACGCCAAAAGGTAATTGAAACCAACCCTAAGCTCCTTGTTTCTCCGCTCTAAAGGTAGCCTCGATTATTGCTGACTTAGGCATCGGAGTGTCTACCCCGAGGATCCACCTCGGGGCTTTGCAGGTCGATCCAGAGCGCAGATACGGATTGAAGAAGGACTTCCGGTTTGGTGTAATTACATTTCCTTATTATTTTCACGCACAATTCACAATTGTATTTGTTCTGCACGGTTAGGCAAAGTGATTAATTATTTATCTATTATGAAGAACATCACTTTTTATGGGTGGATTAAAAGTGGGTTAAAAGATTTATAATCGAAATTTTTTTTAATGAATGAAATAGTAATTGACAAGTGCATTTTGGTTGAATTTTAGGTTTATTTTGATTAAAAATTAAATTGAA